ATAAGTATGCCAATCGGCTATAAATAAGATAGGTCGAATTTTGGCTGATTCTTGGCCGATTTCTGATGTATGCCAATTGGCTAGGCTGATTTTTGATAATTTGCCGAATTTAGGCCGAATTTAAGCTGATTTTAGGCCGATTTTCGCATGTCCGATTTTTTTGATTTGTTAAAATAATGTAGAATTTAATAAATGTGTATACTTTACATCAATTTAATATTCAATACAAATATAACAAAATAAATGTATTTTTCAGTTTAGAACTAAACAAACATTATTTATATATTCTATTAAATATTGCAAAATTATAAATACATGTTGCGAAATTATAAACACTCTCGATTCCAATTTTGAATACCATTTGGTTTAAAAATATGAGGTAAATAAGAATAACTAAATTCAAAAAGAAATATCTATAAATTCTTGAATTAAATTTTAGCTCTATAATCCTCTTCAATTAACTTGCTTGCTCTCCATGCAACCATGGCAACAGGTGCATTAATATTACCATTCGGAATCGTCGGAAAAATTGAAGCGTCAACAACTCGAAGGTTTTTGGTGCCATAAACTTGAAGGCGATGATTAACACATCCTCCTTGAGATTCTGGTGCCATTTTTACAGTACCACACATATGAAACGATGATGATGACTAAATATTGAAAACCCAATAGAAATACAGAAAAGGTCAATTATTGCATTTAAAGATTTCTTCCTACATAAATGAACAAATATATGTTTGGTGACAAATCCCTTTTCACGAATATATCTTTCCCAATCTTCATCACTCATCTCTTCGCCTACACTACACCATTTTCCAAATTCATCATTAAATCCAAGTTCTTTCACGCCCCATACAGTACTTAATGGAGGTTGTTTAAGCAATTCACGTAATAATTTTAGTGAACTAATCATTCTATACATATCTTCAGGTTTTTCATAAAAATTGAGAAATAATTTTGGTTGAATGAATGGATTAGAACTACTTAATTCCAAATGGCCAACACTTTTTGGGCAATTTAATACTGTGGCCAAAGTAATACTTCAAGATATTGTGATATGTTACATATATTGGATATAATCTTCAATAATTTTATCAAACACAATCGCGCTTACTATAAAATGATAAAATTATTATCAATTAATTTACGAATAATGTTTTAAAATATTTTCAGCAAACTTACCATAAGTTTGAAAATCCGGACGTTCATCTAGAAAATCTTCTTTGCTCGGAATTTTTCCTTCAACGTTACCTTTATAATTGATTCCAAGTTTAATCCCACTACACCATGAATGAATTCGAGAAACATCTGTTCCATTTGGAATAGAAACATTGCCAGTCATATAACATATAGGATGATCCAGTAGATTACGTCCAACTGGTAATTCTTTACGAACTTTAATATTACATGCTTTCAAATTATTCTTTGGACCGATACCAGATAGCATTAAAACCTTTTAAATTTATCAATATATATATATATATATCAACTTATTCAACTCAACGTCAATTTCAATAGCGAATAATTCATCCTCACCTGAGCGCTATTCACAGTGCCACCACAAATGATCACTTCTCCTTTTGGGGCAATGAAAGCGTTTTGAATTCCACCATTGCAGAAATATTTGACACCAATTGCGATATTTTCATCTTCCTTTTCTTCATCCCAGATAATACTCAACATATGGGAAAGGGTTTTGACATTGACAGCAACGACCTTTGCAACGCCGTTGGAAAATCCTCCATAAGGAGGCGATAATGGCTTTAGCAAAGGGTATTTTTCAACTTTCTTCAATGCGTCCGTCAAATAACCATCAGCCAACGAAATCCGTTTTCCATCCTTCATTGTATGCTATATGATATTAAAATTTTCATAAATGATTAAACGCATTTAAATGTTTTTCTCATTTAATACAACTAATTTACCTGATGTTTCCCTACACCATTCTGCCTAACCCCGTTGAAATCGTTATTACAAGGAATGCCAAGATTATTTGCAGCCTTAATGATATCTTTTGTCATCTCATAAGTATCATTTGGACTATCTTGTACGTGAAGTAGCCCATTGAACCCATGATACTTCTTAAATTCTTCGTCGGGGTTTACACGGGCGTTGTTTTCGACGGCTTTGAAAGCTTTTTAATAAATAAAAGTTTTAAAAAAAGATTAATTCTCAGAAATTTAATATAAGCAAGAAGAAAATTTATCGGCTGAATTCTTTGTAAACGAGTGCTTAAACTTTGGACAATGTTAACTAGATTAGGGTTTAACACATACCTTCAAGACATCGATCGTAATCCCAAATTGAATATTCAGGACCTTGAGCAGCCCAACTATCGTAATCAGACTTTTGACCTCGCCTAAAAAAGATAAACATTTTAGCATTATATATAAATAAAACCATGAAATTTTACGATAAACCGCATTGGATGAAAAGAAGAATTTTTTTTTAAAAATTATAAAAAAAAAAAACCTTACATGTAAACCATATTGTTCACTGCGCTACATCCTCCAATAATCTTGCCACGCGGATAAGGCATTTCCTTATTTATTACTTCTTTTGTAGGTTCGATAGTACTGGGCATTCTTTGCTCTTCCGTATAATACCCCAATCGGTTTCACTTCCTCGATAAATCTAATTAAGATAAATCGTTAATCAAAAAAAATAACGGAATTAACTCCATTGTACGTACTCACCGAAGGAAAGGTACAAGGCAAGCGAATTTTATCATTAACTTGCGCATCTGGTGGACCAGCTTCTAATACCAAAATGGTAACGTTGGGAACATTATAAATGAGTTCTCTAGCTAGCACGCACCCAGCAGTTCCGGCTCCAACAATAATGAAATCATAAATTTCATTAGTCTTCTTAAAGGTTTGACGTTGATCCCGACAATGAATACTCTCTGACCAAAGATTACGAATTTCGGCATCAATTTTCAATTCTTTCTCTAATATCGAATTAATGGTCTCTGCATTTTTGTCGGAGGGATTTAATTCTGCCATATATATATATATATTTTTTTAATTTTTTTTTAACTTTTATTTTAAAAAAAAAAGAGAGGGCAATCAATTTTTCAGAATCCTTTATTTAAGTATCGAAAATTCTCCCTTCAAAATTTTCATTTTCGTTAATCAAAGGATTCTAAATATGTCAAAAAATTTCTAATTTTGGATATTATACAGAATTATTTTTTGATTGTATCAATCAAAAACTTTATTTAAATGGTTATGGCGCAGCACCCATTTTAAAATAAAAAATTAATGATATTAGTATATAATATTTTCATTCCTATAATGAAATTATGACTAATTACACAATTAAATTTGTCACACTGGGTTTAAAGATAGGAGTTCCAACAAAATGATTAATAAAGAGTGGAATGAATAAAAAAAAAGATAAAGTAGGATGTTATTTATTTGAGCTTAACAAATATATAACGAATTCACTTCTAACATCACTGAATAAATAAAAATAAGAAAAAAATCATTATTTAGGTGATAATTAATAAAATTTTAATCTTACTATTACCAATTTGATTAAATTTATAAACAATATCGTCCTTAAACCTGGATGATCTACATGTAATCTTTATGAAGTTTGATAAAAAAAAATTGTTGAAATTTTCGAGAAGTATAATTTCTCTTTATCTTGTTACAAAAAAAATATAATAATGTCGAATGATCGTGGTTAATCCCACAAACTTCTCTCGTTATTGTTTTCTTATAAGTAGCGTTAAAAAGAGAAGGGATTTTAACGTAAGATTTCCAAATCAGATATTTCGTCACAAAAGGATCGATTATGTAAAGATATACGACAGATGGACTCATGTGGATAATAAATAAAACATATTCTTGCATTCGTTAAATTTATTTAATAACTAGTTATTTTCTTATTGAATATCTCACTAAGCTGCCGAATGCTAATACTGAAGTTCTTAAAATTCATTGGATCAAAATCTCTCTTCTTAAATAATTAATTGATAATGATCGCGGCATTTTAATTTGTTAAATAAGTAAAAGGCGATGAAAATTGTGAAAAAGATACATTTTATTTTATTTTATTATTTTTAACATGAACGTTTTTAAAACGAGAAAAAATTTCTTCTTTTTTTTCATTAGTTAAAAAAATTTATTTCTTTTTAAAATTTAATTACCACTTCACTCTCAAAAAAAAAAAATCATTCATTCAACTATATCTCAAAATCATGAATAAAGATAATAATAAATAAGAATCTGATACGTATTTTTTTTTTTTGATTACTATTTAACTTACTTTGACCATTTCTTCAATTTTGTTAATTAATAAAGTTAAAGATTTTACTTTAAAAAAAACCGCCCCAGCTTTCTATTTCTAGCTATTTTCCTGGATGTTGATATGATTTTGCTTTCTTATAGTCTAGAATGAATTTTCCAGACAAAAAAAAAAATATTATACCAACATAATTTAATTATAAAATATATTTATAAATAATGAGAGTATCAAAATATCAAAAGTGAATGAATTACAGTGAATAAAGAAATTTGTAGGGACGAAATATATTATTTGGGCGAATTCTTTAAACGAAAGGTTAATTATACTACTTAGTATGGTGAACGAAAGCAATGTGGCCTCATGACATTCGCCATATCGAATAGTGCAGATTCGTATTACCATATTGAGAATGACTGACCTACTGCTTCCCAACTTTTATGAAATTAAGTAAAAAAAACATTCCAGCTTTTCGTTCAGAAAGTCAATCTGATGAATCTAGATGATTTATTTGTTTCATTGTATGATGAACAAAAAATTAATATGCTTGATGTGGTATTTACACAAATATTATCGTTACACAAAATTTTTATTAGAATAGTATATGATGATTTTTGAAAATGTAGCGCAAAGTCGATTGAAGTATAAAAAAAATACAAAATGAACTAATGAATTACAATGATATTAAAAGAAAAAAATGTATATAAAAATAAAGTTTATCATTTATTTTTGGGTGGTTTGCTATTAAAGTCATGTTATGGATCATATAGTAACTTGATTTGACTATTTATTTTACCTTTATAACCAAAGAATTCGTCTGGATAATTCAAATTCCTGAACTTTCCACTCTTTATATTCACCAACTTTTTATCTATTTATACTATTCGTAGAAAGTATCCCTTAAACTCTTCTTATATCCGCTATCTATGCTGATATTTAAATTTTTAAATAATTTTTTCTTTCTCGTTATTCTTCTTTATTTTATCATCAAATTCCAGATTGAAAATTTATCTTCATATTCTACATACAACATTGTATCTTGTAAATGTGAACTTTCTACGACTTCTTTACAAATATAAACCTTCTCTGCTTTCTTCAAAATTTTAACTTGGCCGATATTATAAATGTATTTATGTTCCGATTCCTGATGTTGAAAAAGAATATGCAACCACATAATATTGTATAACATATAAACCACGTGTTCATTCGCGTCATTTAAATAATTGAAATTTTAATTATATGCTAACCATAACAAATTAACGTAGAATAAACAGCGCTTGGCATATATACTACATAAAAGAGAAATGTACAGGATAATTTTGAGTTCGATTTCTGGTCTGGCTAACTCCCGAAATTATTTTCGTTAATCATTTACAGATTAGAAATCATTAAAATTCCATGTAATCTATAGTTAAATTTATTATTTAATGGCAGATGATTTCTTGATTTTACCAAGTTCCTCATTTACATACTACGACACCATGCAAATGGATGGTAATTTTAAAACAGTTTTAATTAAATTTATTAAGTTAAATAAATTTCAATTAATTTATTATTCTGTTGATGTAGAAGAATTTGTTGTTATAATTTAGCGAAGCGTTGAAAATTATTTAGTGGAATTATATTCATTATATTGTCCATTTTCAAAATAAATTTTTGAGTTGCTTATACGTAATTTGTTTTGGAAATAAAGTCCTTTGAACATTCTTTTCTGAAATATGCAATATTCATTATTATTTTTTTTTTTTTTATGGAAATGCGAACTAACAGATTTTAACATTTTTAAAAAATTAATGACAATTTTATTGTAAGGATATCATGAAATTAAATAAATTAGTCATTTATGTTTCCACATAATTAAATATCGGATGGACTTTGACAAATAATCATTGCATAAATTAATATAATAAATGTAAAACTATTACTGCTTTAATATTATTCATGTTTCTACGTGTCCTGCATATTGTACTGATGCGTATAAAAAAAATATCGTATCGTTAAAAATAATAAAGATTTCAATTATTACAAACATTGATTTACTGTAAAATTTATGCTTAAAATTGACTAAAAAATACACGTTTTTATATTTAGAAAATCTTTATCTTTATACAGACTAACTATCTGTGCATATTGATACGATATATACTAGCTTGTCTCATGGATTCCTTAGTAGCATATCGCCTCTACTCTTACACCTTGATGTTATCAAATGAAATTATATCGCTATGTTTAAAGCATTTATGTATTTCATATGTATTTGAACCCTCACGAGGTTCACAATAACCTGCTTCTTTTTATTGCTATAGCGGGAGGTATATTAATTTGACGGGTTAAAGAATTATTTAAAAGATTTTAACCCAAGCCGAGGTCTCCTAGATAAATACAATGCATATAATTTAATTCAAATCAGTTCAACCGGTTTACTTCGATTCGATTCAATTTTACATAATATTGGGTTAGCTAAAATATTATAACTGATCAATAATATTATCATCGTGAAAATATTATATTAAAGCTTTATTGATTACTCAATTTTGTATAACCATATCTAAATATATGATTAAATATCATAATCAATTGTTTTAGAAATATAATCTATGAATTATTAAAAATAATTAATTTATGTAATTTATGGATGAATTGTACTTGGATCATTATTTTTACTTACTATTATTAGATTCATTGAGATTATTCTCATTGAATTTGATTTGTTTAATTTTGTCATCTGAAATAATATCAAAAATATTAGTATATATTAACATTATTTAATTACTTAAAGCGGCGGCTTTTTTTTTTTACCATTATCATTATCTTCATTATGATCGTCAAGTTTTCTTTTGCCTTTAATAAATACATAAGATTAGTAAGTATTATTATCAAGCAATTGTATAAGAATTATCAATAATGTTTATTTACCAGAAATCCTGCTACTTGTAAATTCCGATGATATTGTTATTACTTTACTTGTGACTTGATTATTTATCATGACAGGTCCAATATCTCGAGAATATATAATTTTTGTGGGATTTTTTTCTTCATTCGAAATGATTTTATCAATAATGTCATAAATATCTTTACTAGTTGGTCTCTTATTTGGATCAGCATGCCAACATTTTTGCATTAATTCAATATATATATCCTTCAGGCGCATTTATGATAATAGGAGGACGAATTCCATCACAAATTTTAATAATAAGATCTGTATCGTGATCATGATCCCAAAAAGGTCTTCTACCTGTCATTAATTCCCACATAATCATACCAAGACCATAAATATCTGAGGCTTCCGTATATTTATTGCTTTTTGATCCTTGAAATACCTCTGGAGCAATATAAGGAATAAATCCATAACACTCATTTTCATTATTTGGTAAAGCAGTTGATTCTTTACTAATTCCTAAATCACTTATTACTATATCATATTCATTATTACAAAGAATATTTCCACTATGAAAATCTCGATGAATAATTTCTCGAATATGAATATTATTAAGTATATAGCAAATTCCTTGTAATATTATTAATTTCTTATTCCATTGAATAATGTTAAAATTTTTGTTTATATAATTTTTTAAATCATATTTATAATATTTCATAATAATAGCAAAATCTTTTGTTTTAGGATTTTGAGTAATTCCATAATATCTATTAAAATTAAGTAAAGAAGAAATAACTCCATCATTTAAATTCGCAATATATATTATCATAAGCTAAATTTTAAAAAAGTATATGTATAAATTAATATAATATATATATATTATAATTATTACATTACAAATAATTTACCTCATTTAATTGTTTATTAGTAATATTTTTAGAATTATTAAGTTGTTTTAAAGCAACAGTTAGATTAAAATCTTTATATTCAAAATCTTCTTTTTTATTATTCCAATAAGGTGGACCGCTAACCCAAATAGCTTTATTAACTTTACTAAATCCACCTATACCAATTAGTTTTATCTTTTTAAATTGATTAAAAGGAATAAATAACATTCTGCTAGATTCTTGAATAAAATTAATTTGTGTATATTTAATAAATTTATCAACAACTTTATTTCCACTTAGTTTATATAATAATTTAGATTGATAACAAATTATACAAATATCATGATGATTTTGTAAAGGTTTCCTTTTTTTAAAACAAATATTACATAAATTATAATTAATATTTTCCAGATTAATCATAAATTCAATTGATGTAATTTTTTTAATAGCTTCTTTTATATAAGTATTTTGTAATAAATTTTCATTTTCAGCAATTTTTTGATACCAATATATAGACTTTTCAAAATTTTTTTCTATTCCCTGACCATATTCATAACATTTTGCTAAATTAAACATTGCATTTTCATGACCACTTTCAGCAGCTTTTTGATACCAATAAAAGGCCTTTTTAAAATCCTTTTCTGTTTTATTAACACCTTCATAATATAATGTTAAATTAAACATTACATTTGTATGACCACTTTCAGCAGCTTTTTGATACTAATAAAAGGCCTTTTCAAAATCCTTTTCTGTTTCATTAACATCTTCATAACATAATGCTAAATTAAACATTGCATTTGCAATACCACTTTCAGCAGCATTTTGATACCAATAAAGGGCCTTTTTAAAATTCTCTTCTGTTTCATAACATATTGCTAAATTATACATTGCATTTGCATTACCACTTTTAGCAGCTTTTTGATACCAATAAATGGCCTTTTCAAAATCCTTTTCTGTTCCTTCTCCATTTTATAACATAATGTTAAATTAAACATTGCATTTGCATGACCACTTTCAGCAGCTTTTTGATACCAATAAAAGGCCTTTTTAAAATTCTCTTCTGTTTCATAACATAATGTTAAATTATACATTCCATTTGCATCACCACTTTCAGCAGCTTTTTGATACCAATAAATGGCCTTTTCAAAATCCTTTTCTGTTCCTTCTCCATTCAAATATAAACTACCAAGTTCAGATTGAGCAATAATATTTCCATTTTCTGCAGCTTTTTGCATCTAAAAGAATGCTAAATTCTTATTGTTTTTAGTTCCAAATCCTTTATTATAACATCTACCTAAATATAGTTGTGCAATAGGACAATTATCTGCTATTTTTAAAAAATACAAAAATCCTTCACCATTATTTTCTTCTAAACCGAGAATATTGTAATAAAAAAAAATTCCAAGGAAAAAAGCATAATTTGATTTATATTGATTTTCTTTAAGCCAGTTAAATATATCAACTGTCGCTTGAGTAGTAATAGCAATGCAATCATTAATAAATTGCTTCGTTTCTTTGAAATCTTTAAACTGTATTTTACTCAAAAGTATGTACATTTTATCAATTAAAATATTAATGTTATCTGTTGGATTAATTCTTTCTGATATATTTAAGCATTCGACAAGCTTTATTTCCGCTTTTGACATGATTGTTGAGTAAATAGAAGAGAGGGTTTAAAATTTTATTCTGAAAATTCGGCCTAAAATTCTTTCTTAAAATGTTGGCGTATTAATTTGTTTCAAAATAATTACTAATTGGTAAATAAAAAATTTATTCCGATGCAAGTACATGTTTGTAATTTATTCGTTTGAATGCATAATTTGTGTTAGTTTCCTTTAATAGAAATAGAAATATTGCGGGATATGCGCTTATATCCGAAATGCATTTCGGAAATCCAAAATCGGATATTAATGTCCTCTGTGTAAGCTAATATGGTCACGTGACAGAAAGAATTTAGTTGAAGGTATTTTCTTATTGTATAATTTTTTCTTTGCTGAATGAAAACAAGTAATGTTTTTGCTTTTCATAAAATATTGGACTAAACGTTAACAACAAACCGTAGTGAATAATGTATATGTATAAATGTTATCTAAATAAAATTTCTTATCATGTAAATAAAAATTGATTTCGATAAGCTCAAACATACTGCGGAATTTACATTTTAAGTTTATATAGGTAAATGAAATAATATAAACATGACATACTGACTCACACAAAGTACTATTTATGACGATCGTTTTATTAAAGAATTCATATTTGGATAAATACAAAAGTTGTATTATCGAAATTAGTTTGTTGAGTAATTAAATCCACTTGTCTTCAATGAAATAATACCTATCATACTTTGAGGTATCTTCAAAAATTTCGTCGTAAGTTTTATCGTTTTGTTTCATAATTTCGTTTCATCCTTAACAAACTTGATAGTAAGTAAGGAAAAATTTTGCTTCAAGTTACAATTAATATAAACCGGCCTTTTCAATATTTTCTATTTCCATACATTTCTTTGTTAAATATGTGAACATAATAATTTGTTTCAACCTGATTGTCAATATCGCTTTGCATTAGAATTATTTAATAAAATCACGACTTAATATCTGAATGTTTAAAATGAGGAAATAAATCTATTTATCGATTCGAATTTTTAATATCGGTGTGACTTTAATGTTGTATAAGAGGAAAAAAATGAAAATGCACGTAAAATATATGTTTTCTTAATTATTCTTAAGAGAGAATATGAAATAATTTTAAATTTTCACCTCCACATGTCTTCGTAATTTTATCACAAATTGTTTGGTAATTTTATTTTTTGTTCATAAAATTAATCAAAGAAACTTGTATACATGATAAAACAATAAATTGAAGTTTATAAAAGCTGTTCTTTTTTCCATTTTCATTTAATACTAGACAATGTCATTCGAATAAAAATTTGTAGTTTAAAACTGCACATACCCTGTAATTACGCTTCGGTATAGAAAAACTACTTACTGTATTGAAATGTAAAAAAAAAATAATATATACTGTATTATCGTTCCTTGATATACTATTCATCAAACAAAGAAATCAATTTATTTAAAATTTTATATAACATGGTATATTCATAAATAAATAAGACAATTACTATTAGTCAAAAAATAAACAAAAGTTAAAAAAAAAAAATAAACCTAAAATAATTTATTTTACTTTTGCTACATAAACTTTGTAATATCTCAATAACTGCAAAATTTAATAAGTTTACAAGCTGTTTGTTTTTGACAATCCATTAATTTTAACTAGTTACTAAATAATTTTTAAGATAATGTTAAATATAAGATTAATGATTTCCATTCATTTGTTATTTTATTAATACCCTCTCGTGGCTGATCCATCACATTCACATTTACAAATCAAATGACATATTGTATTTAAAATATGCAATCAAATAAATAACAAGCAAGCATACGCTTAATCAATTAATACTAATGCACATCTGTAATCTGACAGTTACTGGCTAAAGCCGGGTTCGATCCCGTGACTCACAAAAATATTTATCACGCCATGATTTTTTATTTTTATTAAGAATTCTGTGGGACAATTATTTTCGGTATGTGATTTCTTATTTGTCACAAATTATTTGTCACCGGGATTAATGTCGTAATTCTGGCTAAAATATCGTGATCGAACCCGGCTTTATATCACATGATACCACGTTTCAATTACGATTAAATTAATA